GTCCGACTTCAGCCAGGTCACGATCTCGCGGTCCGTGAGTTCGAGCCCCGCGTCGGGCTCTGGGCTGATGGCTCAGAGCCTGGAGCCTGTTTCCGATTCTGTGTCTCCCTCTCTCTCTGCTCCTCCCCCGTTCATGCTCTGTCTCTCTCTGTCCCAAAAATAAATAAACGTTGAAAAAAAAAAAAGGTACAGGAGCTACATATTTTGAAACAGGCAGGCACTCTCATGTAGTTACTGGCAAACTTTATTTCCTAAAGGGTGAGAGGAAGGTAAGAGGGAAGATAAAAAAAGAAGAACAACAGACAGATGGATATGATGTTCAGGAGGTTCGAGGGAAGATGCCAAAGCAAGTTATGTCGTGAATGAAACAAGCAGTAGAAGATTGTTTATCTTGGCACCTAAATAGCAGAAGCATCTAGGTAATGAAGTCATTTTCAAATGTTGTTAGTAAGTAGTTATTTTTACTAATGCCATTCTAATAATTGAAAAAGTATTTGCTCAGAGTGTGGCTCATGGTAACTATGTCAGTCCCTGGGTTGCAAGTGACTGAGCATTGTTGACACAGACTTCCAGTGCTTTATAATACAAACAAGATGGTAAGGACCCGCGAAGCGGTAACAGTTCTCTCATTTCCATGATGGTGGATAACAGCTCTTTAATGTTTAAACTTCCATTAATAACTTGATTTTTAAAGTCATCTTAGCACAATCACCTTCTGTGTTTTATTGTACTCTTACTGAAATAGATTATCTTTTTATGGCTTTTTTAAAACATTTTATTTATTTTTGAGACAGGGAGAGACAGAGCATGAACAGGGGAGGGTCAGAGAGAGGGAGACACAGAATCTGAAACAGGCCCCAGGCTCTGAGCTGTCAGCACAGAGACCGACGCAGGGCTCAAACTCACGGACCATGAGATCATAACCCGAGCCGAAGCCGGCCGCTTAACCGACTGAGCCACCCAGGCGCCCCCTTTTTTATGGCTTTTTAAAAATCAGCCTTATTGAGGTATAATTATGTACACAAATCTTAATCATGTGAATAAAGACAGTTTTATTTTGTCCTTCCCAATTCGAATACCTTTATTTCTTTTTCTTGCCTGATTGTGCCAGCCAGAACTGCCAGCGGCTCTCGTGCACTTCAGCACCTCATCCCTCCCTGCTTTGTACCCCCCAACCCTCACACACGCATACTTCAGAGTGACTAGGAAGCCACTGATCAAAAGTGAAATTTCCTGATGGGAACTTCACTTTCTACATGAATACTGGTTATCTTTATAATTGGAAAAAGCAGTAACACTATTCCTTTAAAACACAACAAAACTAAAAGCAATTCTTAAGTGGCGTAAAACATGCTACATAATACTAGTCCAAGAGGCTTGCCCTGAGAATTTAGTCACCGGAAATACAGAGTTCACAGGAAAGAGCTCTTATACCTGAGGTGGACTTCAGGTAGGGCAGTAGTTACTCAGTACTGGGCATTTGGATTTCTTTCATTCACTTCTTTCTAGGCCAACACAGGTCTCAGAGAAGAATTTTCAAAAGAATTGGAAGTACTCAGCCCTAGAGGTTAGAATTGTCAGGACAAGGTGCTGAGCATGTCATTTCAAACTATATTTTGGCATTTTGCTTCCAACATAAAGTCTGATATGCAGGAATGGCTTTTGCTGGCATCTGCTTTAGTTTTTTTTTTTTTTTTTTTTTTTTTTTTTTTTTTTTTTCAACGTTTATTTATTTTTGGGACAGAGAGACAGAGCATGAACGGGGGAGGAGCAGAGAGAGAGGGAGACACAGAATCGGAAACAGGCTCCAGGCTCTGAGCCATCAGCCCAGAGCCTGATGCGGGGCTCGAACTCACGGACCGCGAGATCATGACCTGGCTGAAGTCGGACGCTTAACCGACTGCGCCACCCAGGCGCCCCAAAGGTTAGTTTTGAGAGCATGTGAGACAGACTGACAATCGCACCTTAACTAAGCATTGGAGAATATGTACAGTATTCATTGGTTCTTCTGTGTCACTCTACCTCTCAAAGAAAAATGTCCTGCATTTGTTTCTTGGGAAACCAAACATGTGAAACATGTGTTTTCTTCCTCTTGTGGTCACATGGGACCACTTTGTGCCATATTGGAACTTTATTTGTCCTCAGTGCTGTATCCCAAAGCAAGTAATAATTTTTTAATGTTTTACCCCCTTCTCAGGGTTAATTCCTTGATTTTCTATAGTGTAGAAAACTTCTTCAGGAGTTGGGAGAGAAACTTTTCATTTAGGGATCTGACCTCTGGGACTTCCCAGAGTTCTTGGCATGCTATGCAGATGCATACACATTTTTCATGGAATTAAATAATTAGTGAACCCATCAAACATTTCTTGAGTGTGTAGAATGTGTTAGTCACTGAAGATACAACAAGTTAAAATTCCTGCCTTCAAGGTGTTTATGGTTCAACTTGGGGAGATGAGTCCAGAAAGTATTATAAAAAACAGAAATTATGGGGGGGAAGCCCTGATGGGGGCTTACTTAGTCAAGCATTGGAGGAGGTGGGTAATATGGTAGCAGCTTTCACTATATTCCCTTAGAAGTTTTCTTTGGCATTATAATAAGTGAAGATTCTGTTTTTTTTTTTTTTTTTAATTTTTTTTCAACGTTTTTTTAAATTTATTTTTGGGACAGAGCATGAACGGGGGAGGGGCAGAGAGAGAGGGAGACACAGAATCGGAAACAGTCTCCAGGCTCCAAGCCATCAGCCCAGAGCCTGACGCGGGGCTCGAACTCATGAACCGCGAGATCGTGACCTGGCTGAAGTCGGACGCTTAACCGACTGCGCCACCCAGGCGCCCCAAGATTCTGTTTTTTATTATGTAATTTACTTTTGTAGACTTTATAGACCCTCTAGGCTTTAATACACACTTGTTGAATTTTATAATCTTATGCTGTTGCTGATTTACTATAGTAGCTGCAACTCACAAACTGAATTAAATGTTAATCAGCTTAATTAAGATATTCTTTTACCTATTTGTCCTGCGATATACTAGATCAAGTGTAAGAGAAGGGAAATACATCCAGTTTGATTTTTATATTTCTATAGGCTGTCTCAAACTCATCGCACTAATAAATGCTAGAAATGGGTATGTGTTTCTGATCAGAGTTGTTTGCTCTGGGAGAAGTACTGGCTTATATGAAAGATTTGATACTGGTCACTGTTGGTATGGATTAATATGAATTTTAGTCTACTTACCTGTGTGCTAGAGAGATCTTGTGTGTGTGGGGGGGTGTGTATTCACATAAAGATGATGAGCTGTTGGAGTGCAGGACCATTTATATGTTTGATTTGGTGGAATGCAGCATATAGCATATTTAAATTATTTAATTTATTTATTTACATTTATTTAGTTTTGAGAGACAGAGAGAGAGACAGAGCATGAGCAGGGGAGGGGCAGAGAGAGAGGGAGACACAGAATCAGAAGCAGGCTCCAGGCTCTGAGCTGTCAGCACAGAGCCTGACATGAGGCTTGAACCCACAAACCATGAGATCATGACCTGAGCTGAAGTCAGACGCTTAACCGACTGAGCCACCCAGGCGCCCCCAGTATATAGCATATTTAAACCCTGATATTTAATTAAGAGTATCTCCCATTACCAAAGAGCATCTTAAAATTGTCTGGCAAAATTTCTAAAAAATATTCATTTTTTTGTCTTTAGTTAAGATTGTATCATTTAAAATATTTTCAGTCATGTATTCAGAAGGCAGAAACTTGGGCATTATTCTCAGTGGTTCTTAGTTACCAGTGAGGTCTTTAACTTCTCAGGTCTGCTTCCAAGGAAGGCTCACCACTGAAGTCCATTATCATAGTACCAGTAATGAGGCCACCGCTATCCTTTTAAAAGAAGAGATTTTTTTTCCTTTCGTCAAAGTAGCATTTAAAAATAAAATTAAAAGTGTGATGCATTAAAATAGGAAGTGAAACCATGATAGAGATTGTATTCAATTTATTGATTAATGAAGAAACCAGGAAGTTGGTGAAAGTAGTTCAGAGAAGGTTTGATGATCCAGATTTTTATAGGCAATTGGAATGAATGTTAGAATAAGAACTCTAGGTTAGATTTAGAAAGCCTGGTTTAAGGTCTGACAGGGCAATAGATGATAATCTCTGATGTTATCTTTCCTACTAGAAGAAAAATCTATAGTTTAACATGTAATTTTATTAAGTCTAGGATTTAAACAATGAGTCGTAGTTAACAATTCTCTACATAATTGATAATCCTTGGAAGGGCCTGTTAAATATCAACGTCAACATTAAAAGGACATGCCACCTACCTTTTTGCCTTATATCCATGTTTTAAATAATCTTTTTTAACATCCTATATCTCAAAATTCTAAAATTTGTATGTTTCAGGGGCACCTGGATGGCTCAGTCGGTTAAGCGTCTGACTTCGGCTCAGGTCATGATCTCATGGTTTGTGGGTTCAAGCCTCATGTCAGGCTCTGTGCTGACAGCTCAGAGCCTGGAGCCTGCTTAGGATTCTGTGTCTCCTTTTCTCTCTGCCCCTCCCTCTGCTCATGCTCTGTCTCTGTTTCTCTCTCTCAGAAGTAAACATTTAAAGAAATTAAAAAAAATAAAATATGTTTCAAAACATTAACTTTTAGATTCAGATTACAGCAATCCCATATCATTTGCAGGTAGTTAATGGAGAAGTTGCCAAACAAGAAGTACTCTAGGTTTTAACCAGAAGGAGTAATGTACCATGATTTTACAGGCCTATTATTTACAGGCAAAGATTAGAAAAGAAAACATGCTTATTCTATCTGAGGATTTTTTATAGATTGAACATGAACTATTTGAAGACGGGCTCTGTAGTCAGTTCTTATCCATTCAATATTGAATCCCCAACACCCACTTTAGCATAAGTGTGGCATTCAAAGAATTAAGTCATCGAGTGACAGTGACTGGGTAAATATCAGTAATAATCTAATAGAAATTTCTTTGCATTGTGTGTTTGACCAGGTGAACAACAATTGTGTGCTGGCCCCAGGATACTAATCAGAACTTCTGCCTGACTCTCAAGGCACAAGGCTCAGTACCTGCAGAAGCCTTTTACCCATCTAATCCAGGCGTGGGACAACATGTCTGCACCTAGGAAGGCCACAGCAGAGTCTGGTAGGTTCTCATGCCTCACACACTTTGGGGGATGTGGAGCAGAAGGAACCAGAGCAGTGCTTCTCAGACTATAAATACATGTGGGAACCACCTGTGAATTTGTTGTTAACCTGCAGATTCTGACTCACTGGGTCTGTGCAGGAGTCCAAGATTCTGCATTTCTAACAAGCTGTCACACTTTGAGTAGCAAGGAACAGATTCTAGTGTTTTATTACACTCTTTCCATAGAACATTTTTCCAATTATGTAAATAATATGTTACCTATATAACATGTAATATATAATTATATATAATAATAAATGTAATATGTATTTATTGCAGAGAATTTGGAAAGTACAAACAAGCACAGAAACACAAGGAAGGCTTTTGGTATGTAATAACTAACACGGTGTTTAGATGAGATGCCACTGTGTCCCAGGTGATCCATATTGTCATTGTCTTGTCTCAAACATTAGCAGCTTGCCATCATTTTTCAACATTTCTTTTATACCTGTCCTCATTCTTTCCATGTTGGGCTCAGCTGCCGGTCCCTCTCCTAGACTGCCCTCCTTGTCATCAGTGTTACTCCCTGGCCTAGAGGGCTGAGCCAGAGCTCTACATAGGGCTGTCCTTGCTGGGCTGCTTCTCTGCTGTTTCACCTCTGACTCCAGAAGTCCTTCTGGTCCTGTCTACATTCTGAAAGACGTGGAGACAGCTTTTTTTTCTCATTGTGGTATTACTTTTCCAAGCATATATGTTGTTTCCAGTTTCCTTCTGTCCATCATAGACATTCCTATTGACAACATGTTAACATTTACAGGTTTATTCTTTGGTTGAATTCCTCCTTTAGGATAAATTCCCAGGATTGGGCTCCTTGAGCTAACAGGTCTGAAATTTTGTATTGCCTTTTTTTTTTTTAAGTTTATTTATTTATTTTGAGAGAGACAGCACAAGTTGGGGAGGGGCAGAGAGCAAGTGTGAGAGAGAATCCCAAGCTGTGAGATCATGACATGAGCCAAAATCAAGTCAGACGCTCAGCTGACTGAGCCACCCAGGCACCCCAAGAATTTTGTACTGCTTTTACTATCTATTGCCAAATTATTTTCCAGAAAAAGTTAATCATATTACCAGGATTATACCAGTTCTACTGTAACCTCACCATATTTGGTGTTATCACAGCAAGAAGAAAGGTAATTTATGAAATGATATCTTGAGTTTCCTTTTCTCTTCCATTTCTATGATTACTGTTCAGGATTATCTATTTCATTTTGTGTAACTTGATTTTTTTTTTTTTTAATGTGTGTTCTGCGTTTTCCTTTTTGAGATAGCTATGCACTCACCAACAGTTCTATCAATTATCTTCTGACCTTCTACTAAAGAATATGATCAAATTTGGGGCGCCTGGGTGGCTCTGTCGATTGAGTGTCTGACTTCGTTCAGGTCATGGTCTCACGATTCTTGGGTTCAAGCCCCGCGTTGGGCTCTGTGCTGACAGCTTGGAGCCTGGAGCCTGCTTCTGATTCTGTGTCTCCCTCTCTTTCTGTCCCCCCTCCCCCCCCCAATTACTCTCTGTCTCTCAAAGGTGAATAAATGTTTAAAAAAAAAATAAAAAAAAACCATAAGAATATGATCAACATATACATTTTACTGAGGTCTTTTAAAATACAATTTTGAATCAGTTTCTTTCCTATTTTATGTTCTAAACACTCCATTCCTTTATTTTAGGTTTTTTGAAAAGGACAAAAACAGCACACAAAAAGATAGCTGAGGCACCCATTTACTCAAGACCTTTGTAATTACTATGCACGTGACCAAACTGGGTGGGTTTTCCTGAAAGAAATTACAATGAAAGTAGCAATTGTCATATTTTATTGGCAGAACTTTTTAGATTCTAAATATATATGGTAACTTACAGCTTTGTTCTTTATTGCCACCTACTGAATGCAATATTCTTTTCTCGAGGAAAGAGTGTGCTTGCAAAATTGAAAAGTTAAACATGTAGATGGATTGAAAGTCCACAGTAAGTGGCGCCTGGGTGACTCAGTCAGTTGAGCATCTGACTATTGGTTTTGGCCCAGGTCATGATCTCATGGTTTCTGAATTTGAGCCCTGTGCGGAGCCTGCTTGGGGTTCTCTCTCTGCCTCTCTCTCTCTGCCTCTCCTGCTGTCTCTCTTTTTCTATCTCTCTCTCAAAGTAAATGAATAAACTTAAAAAAATTAGAAAAATAAAGTCCACAGTAAAAGAGAGCAAGAACCAAGTTACTTTATTTTTTAAAATTTATTTCTTTATTTACATTTTAGTTAGTTAATATACAGTGCAATATTGGTTTCAAAGTAGAATTCAGTGATTCGTCACTTACATGGAACACCTAGTGCTCCTCACAACAAGTGCCCTCCTTAATACCCATCACCCATCTAGCCCATCTCCCACTCACCTCCCTCCGTCAACTCTCAGTTTATTTTCTATCATTAAGAGTCTCTTGTGGTGGTTTGTTTTCCTCTCTTCTCTCCCCTCCCTCTTCCCATATGTATATTCATCTAATTTGTTTCTTAAATTCCCCATATGAGTGAAATCATATAATGACTTTCTCTAATTGACTTATTTTGCTTAGCATAATATATTCTAGCTCCATCCATGTCCTTGCAAATGGCAAGATTTCATTCTTTCTGATGGCTGGGTAATATTCCATTGTTTGTATATACCACATCTTCTTTATCCGTTCATCAGTCGATGGACACTTGGGCCCTCTCCATAGTTTGGCTGTTGTTGATAATGCTGCTGTAAACGTTGGGATGCACCTGCCCCTTTGAATATGTATTTTGGATCCTTTGGGTAAATACCTAATAGTGCAATTGCTGGATTGTAGGGTAGTTCTATTTTTAGTCTTTTTAAGAAACTCCATACTCTTTGCCAGAGTGGCTGCACCGGTTTGCATTCCTACCAGCAGTGCAAGAGGGTTCCCCTTTCTCCGCATCCTTGCCGATACCTGTTGTTTCTTGGGTTGTCAATTTTAGCCATTCTGACGGGTGTGAGGTGGTATCTCATTGCAGTTTTGATTTGTGTTTCCCTAATAACGATGTTGAACATCAACAATGTTGATGTTGAACATCGTTTCATGTGTCTGTTAGCCATCTGGATGTCTGTTTTGGAAGAGTGTTCATGTCTTCATTTCTTAACTGGGTTGTTTGTTTTTTGGGTTTTGAGTTTGGTAAGTTCTTTATAGATTGGATATTAACCCTTTATTAGATATGTTGTTTGCAAATATCTTCTCCCATTCCAGAGGCTGCCTTTTAGTTTTATTGACTGTTTCCTTCACTGTGCAGAAGCTTTTTATCTTGATGAAGTCACAGTATTTCATTTTTGCTTTTTCCCTCTTGCCTCTAGAGACATGTCTAGTAGAAAGTTGCTATGGCAAAGTCAAAGAGGTTGCTGCCTGTGTTCTCTCAGATTTTGATGGTTTCCTGTCTCATGGTTAGGTCTTCCATCCAATTTGAATTTATTTTTGTATATGGTGTAAATAAGTGGTCTGTTTTTCATTTTTCTGCATGTTGCTGCCCAGTTTTTCCAACACCATTTGTTGAAGAGACAGTCTTCCATTGGATATTCTTTCCTGCTTTGTTGAAGATTAGTTGGCCATATAGTTGTGGGTCCATTTTTGGGTTTCCTATTCTGTTCCATTGATCTATGTGTCTGTTTTTGATGACTACAGCTTGTAATACAGCTTGGAGTGTGAAATCATGAGGCCTCCAGCTTTGCTTTTCTTTTTCAGGATTGCCTTGGCTATTAGGGGTCTTTTGTGGTTCCATACTAATTTTAGAATTATTTTATCTAGCTCTTATGAAGAATGCTGGTGGTATTTTGATAGGGATTTCATTAAATATGTAGATTACTTTGGGTAGTAGAGACATTTTAACAATGTTTGTTCTTCTAATCCGTGAGCATGGAATGCTTTTCCATTTCTGTATGTCCTCTTCAATTCTTTCATAAATGTTCTATTGTTTTCAGAGTACAGATCTTTTACCTTGTTAGTTAGGTTTATTCGTAAGTATCTTATTGTTTTTGGTGCAGTTGTAAATGGGACTGATTCCTTGATTTCTTTTTCTGCTGCTTTGTTATTGGTGTATAGAAATGCAACAGATTTCTGCATGTTGATTTTATATCCTACGACTTTGCTGAATTCATGTATCAGTTCTAGCAATTTTTCTGTGGATTCTTTTGAGTTTTCTACATAGAGTATCATGTTATCTGCAAATACTGAAAGTTTGACTTCTTCCTTGCCAATTTGTATGCCCTTTATTTCTTTTTGTTGTCTGACTACTGAGGCCAAGACTTCCAGTATTGGTATTAGTTGTGGGTCTTTTATATACGGCCTTTATGATGTTGAGGCATGTTCCATCTATCCCTACTTTGTTGAGGGTTTTTATCAAGAATGGATGCTGTATTTTGTCAAATGCTTTTTCTGCGTCAATTGACAGGATCATATGGTTCTCATCCTTTCTTTTGTTAATGTAGTGTATCACATTGATTGATTTACAAATATTGAACCAACCCTGCAGCCCAGGAATAAACCCCACTTGACCACGGCAAATAATTCTTTTAATGTACTATTGAAATCAATTTGCTAGTATCATGTTGAGAATTTTTGCATCCAGGTTCATCAGGGATACTAGCCTTTAATTCTCCTTTTTAGTGGGGTCTTTGTCTGGTTTTGGAATCAAAGTAATGCTGGCTTCGTAGGAGGAGTTTGGAAGCTTTTGTTCCATTTCTATTCTTTTGGGACAGTTTGAGAAGAATAGGTATTAACTCTTCTTTAAATGTCTGGTAGAATTCTTCTGGGAAACCATCTGGTCCAGGACTCTTGTTTGCTGGGAGATTTTTTTTTAAGTTTATTTATTTTGAGAAAGAGAGTATGAGTAGGGCAGAGAGAGAGGGAGAGAGAGAATCCTGAAAGAATCCTAAGTAGGCTCCACGCTGTCAGCACAGAGCCCAGCATGGGGCCTGAACCCATGAACCATAAAATCATGAACTGAGCCGAAACCAAGAGTCGGACATTTAACCAACTCAACACCCAGGTGCCCCTTGTTGGGAGATTTTTAATTACTGATTCAAGTTCTTTGCTGGTTATTGATCTGTTCAAATTTTCTATTTTTTCCTTTTTTAGTTTTGGTAGTGTGTGAGTTTCTAGGAATTTGTCCATTTCGTCCAGATTGTCCAGTTTGTTGGAATATAATTTTAGTAGTATTCCCTTATTATTGTTTGTATTTCTGTGGTGTCAGCTGTGATAAAAAATGTGATTTTTATCTATTTGGGTCCTTTCTGTTTTCTTTTTGATGAGTCTGGTTAGGGGTTTATCAATTTTGTTTATTCTTTCAGAGACCCAGCTCTTAGTTTTGTTGATCTGTTCTACTGCTTTTTTTGTTTCTACATTATCTATTTCTGCTCTAATCTTTATTATTTCTCTTCTTCTGCTGGCTTTCAGCTTTATTTGCTGTTTTTTTCCGAGCTTCTTTAGGTGTAAGGTAGGTAGTGTGTTTGGGATCTTTCTTGCTTCTTGAGAGAAGTCCAAATTGTAGTATCCTTTCTTTTTAGGACTGCCTTTGCTCCATCCCAAAGGGTTTGGACTGCTGTGTTTTCATTTTCATTTGCTTCCATGAATTTTTTTTCTTTAATTTCCTGGTTAACCCATTCATTCGTTAGTAGGATCTTCTTTAACTCTCATGTATTTGAGGGCTTTCCAAATTTTTTCTTGTGGTTGGCTTCAACTTTCATAGTGTTGTGATATGAAAATATGCATGGTATGATTGATGCTGACGACTGTTGATGACTGATTTGTGACCACGTATGTGATCTGTTCTGGAGAATGTTCCATGTACATGAGAAGAATATGTATTCTGCTACTTTAGGATGAAATGTTCTGAATATATATATCTATTAAGTCCAGTGTGTCATTCAAAGCCATTACTTCCTTGTTGATTTTCGGCTTACATGGTCTGCCCATTGTTGTAAGTGGGGTGTTAAAGTCCCCTACTATTATTGTATTATTATCAATGAGTTTCTTTATGTTTGTTATTAATTGATTTATATATTTGGGTACCTCCAAGTCAGGGGCATAAATATTTACAATTGTTAGCTCTTCTTGATGAATGGATTCCTTAATTATGATATAATGCCCTTCTTCATTTCTTGTTACAGTCTTTGTTTTAAAATCTAGTTTGTTTGATACAAGTGTGGCTCCTCTGGCTTTCTTTTGACATCCATTAGCATGATAAATGGTTGTCCGTCTCCTCACTTTCCATCTGCAGGTGTCTTTAGGTCTACAGGGAGTCTCCTGTAGGCAGCATATAGATGAATCTTGTTTTTTTTTTTTTTTTATCCATTCTGATACCCTGTGTCTTTTGATTGAAGCATTTAGTCTGTTTACATTCAGAATGATTATTGAAAGATAAATTTAGTGCCATTTGTTACCTGTAGAGATGATGTTTCTAGTGATGTTCTCTGGTCCTTTCTAGTCTTTGTTGCTTTAGTCTTTTTTTTTCTCCACCGAAAGGGTCTGCCTTAAAATTTCTTGCGTGGCTGGATTAGTGTTCATGAACTCCTTTAGTTTTTGTTTGTTGGGAAACTCAATCTCTTCTTCTATTCTGAATGACAGCCTTTCTGGATAAAGAATTCTTGGCTGCATAATTTTCCCATTCAACACGTTGAATATATCCTGCCACTCCTTTCTGGCCTGCCAAATTTCACTGGACAGGTCTGCTGCTTACTTTGTGTGCCTACTCTTGTAGGTTAAGGACCTTTTGCCCCTAGATGCTTTCAGAATTCTCTTTATATTTGTATTTTGCAAGTTTCACTATGATATGTCATGGTGTTGACCTGTTTCTGTTGATTTTGAAAGGAGCTCTCTGTGCCTCTTGGACTTGAATACTTGTTTCCTTCCCCAGATTTCCTTTCAGCTAAAATTTGTTCCAATAAACCTTATGCTCCTTTTCCCCACTCTTCTTCTGGGAATCCTGTGATACAGATGTTGTTCCATTTTATGGAATCACTAAATTCCCTAAGTCTCCTCTTGTGATCTAATAGTTTTTTTTCCCTCTTCTTTTCAGCCTCATTGTTTTCCATAATTTTATCTTCTATATCACCTATTCTCTCCTCTGCTTCTTTAATCCTCATTTTGACTATATCCAGTCAATTTTGCATCTGTTATCGCATTTTTTATTTGAGCCTGACTAGTTTTTATGTCTTTGATCTCTGAAGCAAGGGTTTCTCTGTTGTCTTCTATGCTTTTTTCAAGCCCAGCTGGTAGTCATATGACTGTTCTGAATTCATCTTCAGATATTTTGCTTCTATCTTTTTTAAATTTTCTTAATGTTTATTTATTTTTGAGACAGAGAGAGTGAGTGAGAGAGAGAGTGGGGGAGGGGCAGAGAGAGAGGGAGATACAGAATCTGAATCAGGCTCTAGGCTCCAAGCTGTCAGCACAGAGCCTGACATGGGGCTCGAACTCATGAACCGTGAGATCATGATCTGAGCAGAAATTGGAAGCTTAACTGACTGAGCCACCCAGGTACCCCATATCTGTTTTTTTTTTGAAAAAAAAACCCCTTCTTTTAATGTTTATTTATTTTTCAGAGAGAGAGAGAGAGAGAGAGAGAGAGAGAGAGAATGAGCATGAGAATGAGCAGGGGAGGGGCAGAGAGAGAGAGAGGGAGACACAGAATCCAGAGCAGGCTTCAGGCTCTGAGCTGTCTGCACAGAGCCTGATTCAGGGCTCGAACCCACAAACCGTGAGATCATGACCTGACCTGAAGTCGGATGCTTAGCCAACTGAGCCACCCAGGGGCCCCTTACTTATTATATCTGTTTTGAGCAAGTCTCTGGATGTGATTTCTTCTTGACCTTTCTTTTGGGGGGGAATTCTTCCATCTTGTCATTTTGGCTATGTTTCTGTCTTGTGTGTGTTTTGAAAGCTTGTTATATTTCTTGCACCTGAGAGTACTGCTATATTTAAAAGGCATCTCACACTGTCCAGAGCCTGACGCTTCAGGAAGTGTTTCTGGTATGTGCTGTGTGTATTCTGCTGTTGCATTTTGGCTGCCCTTTCCCACTGGTCAATCAGAGCTCCTTCTTGCTTGTCATGTGGTGTTTGGACCTTTAACTAGGTGTGCTTTGATTTGTTTGTTAAAATAAGCCTTGCACCTGCCATGCTGTCTCCCTCCAACTGTGGAGATCCTTCTGCCAGGCCACAGATCGATTTCCTAAGTGTTCCGCATGATCTGACCTCAACACAGCTGTGTTTGGTGGATGTGGAAAGCCCAGGGTCCCCCTACTTCTCTGTCAACTTAACTCGTCCACCCTAAGAACTGAATTACTTTAAATGAATTAAAATCTGTAGTCACATACACAGTCCCCAAATCACCTTTAAAAGCATTTATAGTGTTTATGGAATTCCAGCTGAATTTATATTCTCTTTTCTGGGCTCCCTTAAGCCTTTATTGATATTCTTATTTGAGTGCTTGTTTTATTGTCTCATGTTATAGTTACTTTTATACTTCCTTATTGAAGTACAGACTTCTTGAGGATAAAGGTTGAGTCTTTTTCCTCTTTGCTTAAGCACGCTCAGTGCTTTGTATATTGTAAATATATAATGTTTAATAAATGTTGAGTTGAACATGATTTCAGAGCTGCTCTTAGTGGTGGGAGAAATCAAAGAACAAAAGAGGTACCCCTGATCTGTGGTTTCTGCAATATATTGTCCTTAAAGAAATGACAGATTAGCAGTTTTGATTTATGCCAAATTTTTGATGAACTAAACAGATAGCTTATGACACATTAAGTGAATGAAATGATCTTTAAGAACTGAGCTTCACTAAGAACAAGAGGGATTAAACCAATCTCCATCTAGAGTAATCTAGAGCAGCCCTGGATCAAGACAAAGCTTTCTTCATCCTGATAGTGTAATTGTTCTCCTTCCTGGCTACCCTAAGATTAGGATGACCCAAACCTCCAAACCCCAGGAAATTATTTATTTGGAGAATTTCATGGCCCTGAAGCTTCCCTGGAATCCCTTTGCAAAGTGAAATAGGTGCTTGAACTTAGCAATGTTTTCTGAAGTCAGGAGTCATCCTTTTAGGATTCCAAAAGTGGTAGAACACACAGGAGATTCATTTACTAGTTTAACTAGTTTACTAACCATTTATATATCCCATTGGCAAAGTCTATGTGAAGATCATCAGCCTTCTTCATGTTTTAGGTGCCTTAAAACTTAACCACAATGACCTGAAATTTCTGGTGATTTTGATGCATCAGGTCCAGTATTCTGAATTATTCAGAACTGTGTAGGCCCTGAGCTAGCTACCTAGCCCAGAGTTTATGCTACTCTCTGTTAGTTCCTGAGGATCCTGGAAGAGAGCATCATTTTCATTATGGTAAATGTCCAGGCCACACTAGACCAGTAGGTTCTTTGCGCTAGTTCACTTTTAGTTTTTATAGTCAACCCCACTTTTTCTTGAGATACTTCTTTATCACCTTCCCACCCATGTGTCTGAGAAAGGGCAACATTTGTACCTTGTACTTTTTAAGGTTCTCTAAGTTCATGTCCCCTTATCAATAAGCCAGATGGGGTATTTAGAGGAGTCACTGGGAAGTACGTTTGGTACTGTGCCTCATATGAGTATAATGACAGGCTGCATAGCTCCTAAATAAATGCTGAATTAACGTACAGCAGGTCATGAGATCAGTCCACACATCTTTCCTAATAATTATGTCCTTCCCTCTTCCTTCTCCTCTCTCTAGAATCATCCTGACTCTGGCCATTGGTCAAGGGGTCTCCATCCACAAGAAAGATTTATAGGATACCACACCAGGGGCTGCTACTAGCCTAGCTACTAGGCTACTAGGCCTCGGCTGCTAGCAGCCTCGGCTGCTACTAGGCCTCGGCGAGCCTTGCTCACCATTGGAAAAATCCCACAGGCTTACCCAACTCCTGTGAAATCTCTACCACCTGACCCTTCAAGAAACCACATTCTGGATTTTTCCTAAATCACTGAAGTAATAAAGGTTGCCATCTTTCTACTACCATTAATTAATTCATTCACATTCTCCCTGGTTTTTAACTTCCTGACCATTCCGATATGCCAGTGTATAATGCCATGCACCCAGACTTTCAGGACATGCTCTACAAATAGCCTTATTCAAGGCCTGCTCCAGTGCCTGAGCCGAGGAAAAAGGTTGGACATCAGAGTAATTCATAGGAGCTTGAGGCTCAGACTTTTTTAGGGACAGGATCTCAGACTGAGCAAAAAAGGGACACCTTGCCTTATCCCAAGGCTAGGGAATCTAGGAATGAGTAGGGTGGGACAAGAGGGTGTTCTCTCCAGCCTGGTGCTTTTAAACTTTCATATCTGCCCATAAACAACACATGAGCACACATAAAAATGGGTCTCTTATGTGTGTTCATTTTTCATGGACCTCTTTAATTTATGGCCTTGTGCCTTGTATGACTTTCCATTTCATATTTCATTCCTTGCACAGATGCCTAGCGCCTCTTCTCCAGTTTTGACCTGTTCCTTTCCTTCTTTGATTTTTATTTGCACTCTTCTTCTGGCCAAGGGATTTTCCTGGTTTTGGGAAAATACCATTTTAATCTACTAATCTAGAACCCATGATAGAAGTCCACACCCTAACAGAAAAGCTTTCCATGTTGCCCAACACCTTGCATTTGTCCAGACCTGGTAAAAGTACTCTTATTGCTAGAGAAACATGTGATAAGATGGACCACACAATGACAGTTGGTAACAAAATTCATCGTTCCACAAACATTTTTCTAGTGCATGTTTTGGCCTGGCCAGACATGGAAGGGAAGGGAAGTAGAGAAAGCATGGTCTCTCCCAAGAAGATTACAATATATTGTGGACATTTGTATGCAGGTAGATTGTAATATAAATGTTTATCTTGTAATAGTCCTATGGGGAAAGTGCTATAGTAATCTCAGCGGATTTGGAAAAGGAACTAAACAAGGTAAAATATAGTAAGAATAAAATTAAAGTTTTTTGTTTGTTATGTTAAAAATTCAGCTCTGAACATGACCAAGGTAAACTGTTTAAAATGTATTTAGGAGACAAGAACCTGAGCAATCCTTGCACTAAAACACGGCAGACTAAGTACAGGCTTTAGTGTATGCTCCCTCTAGAAATCCTACTAAAGAGGTAGTGAGGGAATGGAAAGATGTAAACCCATACAGACATCTTGACAGGAGAGGAGACACTGGAAGGTGAAAGAGTCTAACCATTTTGGAAGATGGAAAGCAGATGGGTGATGACTTTAGCAGAGAAGAGGAGAAGAAACCCACTGCCAGAAAGGGATGAGGTAGGAGAAGCTGCCAATAAGAAATAGCTAGATTTTTGCATTAGAACTAAGAAGTATTCAGGAGTTGAAGGTACTGAGTGAAACAGGAAAATGATTGAAAGCCTGTAATATTAGAATTTTCTAGACACAAGACAGTTGTTCTTTTCTTACCTTGGCTAAGGACAGGAGGCTTGCTCTGTAGAGGTGGAGGTGGAGGAGTTGTTTGGTTTGGAGGTTGGCTGGACTGGGAGGGGAGAGGGCTGTTAGACTGAAAATGGAGCGGTAGTAGAAAGTTTGTGCTTAGCACAAGGTTAAGCCTCTCCCTCCCTCCTTCCCATCAACCGTCCATTTTCTTCCACTCAGCTCTTAACAATGCTGGTAGCCAGGTTTATACACCATCGGCAGGAAATCAGAGGATTTATCTCTGGGGAAATTGGCTTTTCTGAGGAAACATCTACAGACTTTGGGAAGTTCTCAATTAAAGGACAATGTATGTGTGTCTCCCTCTGTCTTTGAATTTTCATATAACAAGGACTACTTACTACTAGTCAAAGACACACACACACACACACACACACACACACACCCCTTCTTAATATCTTAGTGTTATGCATGAATGAATGGCCAAAGGTCACCAGATAGATATCTAAGGAAAACCTTTGAGTAAAATAAACAAATGGGAAAAGAATGAGTTCAGACAGGAGCACCTGGGTGGCTCAGTCGGTTAAGTGTCTGACTTCGGCTCAGGTTATGATTTCACAGTTCATGGGTTCGAGCCCTGTGTTGGGCTCTGTGCTGACAGTTCAGAGCCTAGAGCCTGCTTTGGATTCTGTGTCTCCCTCTCTCTCTGCCCCTCCCCTGTTCATGCTTTGTCTGTCTGTCTGTCTCTCTCTCAAAAAAAATGTTAAAAAGAATGAATTCAGAGACAATGCAGGTAGAAAACAAGTAAGTAAATACTGTAATTAATATGCTTAGAGAACTGAGACAATACTGCACCAAGAAACGTGAACAGGATTGTCAAAACAAGGACCAATCAATCAATAAAAAGAGCTGTTAGAAATTTAGCAACTGCTAACAGAAATATCAGAATTGAATATAAAGTTAGATATATCTTTCAGAAAATAGGATAAAGAGATAAAAAATAGAGCAAAGATAAGATTAGAAGACGAATTCAAGATAGTCTGCATGTAACTAATAGGAATTCAGGAAAAAAAAAAGCAACTGAGGAGCTACTTACTAAAAAGTTCACAGACTGAAGGACATAAGTTTCTAGGTTTGAGAGTGAGTTCAAGTACTAGTGAAACAAAAGGAAAAAAAAGACACCACATCAAGGAACATTACTGTAAAATTTCCACTCACAGGGGAAAATCCCAAAAGCTTTCAGTGAGGGTGAATAAAACAGGTCCCAGGTTGTGCATTAGAGTCAGAATAGCATCATACTGGGGCACCTGGGTGGTTCAGGCAGTTAAGCGTCCAACTTTTGATTTCAGCTCAGGTCATAATCTCATGGTTTGGTTCATGGGATCAAACCCTGAGTTGGGCTCCATGCTGCCAGCACGGAGCTTAGGATTCTCTCTTTCCCTCTCTTGCTGCCTTTGTCTCTCTCTCTCTCTCTCTCAATAAATAAATAAATAAACTTAAAAAAAAAGAAAAGCATATTATTAGCTTATCAAATTATCTCACTGGAAGCTACAGTAAAGGACTTCTCAGACATGAAGTAAGTTTTATCACATTTATTTTCAGTGTAGAATAAGAGAGGAATTGAAGGGAGTGGAATAAGGAAGTAGGGATGTGAATCCTGGAGAAAAGAACCTAACAGTAGATGTTACACCAGTGTACAAATGTGCCAAGAGCTATTGTGGAAGGGCATGTTCTGTGGTGCTCCAGAGGGCAGGGCATGGAATCCGAGATTACAAAGGGAGACTCTGGCTGAACTTGTGAATGACCTGTGGTATTCAGTGATGAAATCGTGATTGTCTGATATGAGCCTATATAAGTTTGAATAGAATTATATAAGGGAATCTCTTGAGAGACTGCTAGACTATTAAATATAAAATCTAACTAGACGATGAGATGCTATTGTAACAATAAATGCCATTATGTATATAAATTAGCAGAGAGGAAGCTGTCTGTTATAGGCACAAAAAGTGGGTCAGTAAATCTAGCGGGTTTTTTAGTTTTAAAAAATTCTTAACAGAGTCCTGCATTCCTTTAAAGAAGGTAGGTTATTTAAAAAGTGCAAGGTCTAGTAAACTTGAAGGTTTTTCACTTATTCAAATCAAATTTTGAAAGCCTCAGACTTGACAAAATTCTCAAAAGCATTGTAGACAAGGAGACAATCCCTTTTTTCTAAAGGTTAAAATCATATATGCTTGAAAAATCACTCAGCATTCAAGTGTCACTTCATTTAGCTACCTTGTATTAGAGGAAAACCCTTCCAAATATGGAAAAAAGCTGTCTCAAGTAATTTATTCAACTCATTAAATAATCAGGGAGTAGTGCTGGTTGAAAGAGCATTTTGAGGAACAGGGTATGTGTTGTCTATTAGGGAAGGCATTTCGAAATAACTTTGCTGAATTAGAAATAAAACTGATTAGTGTTCTACAGGGCATCAAAACCACAGCCTTTCTATCAGGGGGCTCTTAACAAAATATTGTTAAATTAATAACTTTACTTCTGATATGAACATATAAACCTGCAATTTTAGTTATTTAATTATTATTTATAACTTACTGAAAGAGAGAATCCCAAGCAACACAGAGCCTGTTGCAGGACTTGAACTCACAAACCATGAGATCATGACCTGAGCCAAAATCAAGCATTGGATGCTTAACCGACTGAGCCACTCATGTGCCCCCATTTGCAGAAGTTCTTTATGTGTCATTTAAGTGAGTTTATTATAGGATATATGTATTGCAAATATCTTTTCCCATTCTGTGGTTTGTCTTTTTACTTTTTTTTAAGGTTTTTTTTTTTTTTTAAGTTGTCTCTACACTTCATGTGGGGCTCCAACTCATGACCCCAAGATTGAGTTGTATGCTCTTCTGACTGAGCCACCCTGGCACTCTTGCCTTTTTACTTTCTTAATAATATCATTTGATGAAGAGAAATTTTTAATTTTAAGGAAGTCCAATTTTTCAATGTTTTTCTTTATGACTGGTGTTTGTTTTAGAAATATTCACTTTCTGAAGGTCATGAAGATATTTTCTTATATTTTCTTCTAAAGGCTTATTGTTTAACTTCTCAAATTTAGATCTGTGATCTTTCTGGAATGTTTGAATATGGATATTTAATTGAACCAGCACGAGGTAATTAAAGACATTTTTTTTTAAATATGTTCATGAGAGGTAGTGGTGTTCTCTTTTAATATTCTTGTCTGTTTTTGATAGCAGGGGATGTCTGGTGTCATAAAGCGTTTTTGGGAAGTATTCTATCTTCTTTTATTTTCTGAAATTCTTTGTGTAGAATTGGTATTATTTATTCCTGAAATATTTGGTATAAGTGAAGTCATAGAGCCCTAGAGGTTGTTTGCATGTCTTTTCCAAGATTTTTGAGCCAAATTCAACTTCTTTATTTGGACTTTCTGTTTCTTACTGTGTCTGTGTTTAAAATTTGTGTCGTTACATTGATGAAAGAAAAGGAAGAAGGCACAAATGAACGGAAAGTTATACCCTGTTCATGGACTGGAAGAATTAAAACTGTTAAAAATGTGCACACTACCCAAAGTCGTTTATGGATTCAGTGCAATCCCTATTGATACTCCAATGGAATTCTGTACAGAAGTAGAAAAACAATCCTAAAATTTATATGGCACCACAAAAGACCATAACACTTTGTATTTCAAGCTATATTATAAAGCTATAGTGATCAAAACAGTATGGTACTGACATAAAAACAGATACATAGACCAATGGAACAGAACTGAGAACCCAGAAATACACTCATGCATATATGGTCAACTTCTGTTTTACATGGGAGCTAAGAATATTCAATGGAGAAAAGACAGTCTCTTCAATAAATCGTACTGGGAAAATGAAATATTCACATGTAAAAAATGGAACTATACACACACAGGAATATTATTCAGCCATAAAAAAGAAGGAAAACCCTCCATTTGCAATTACATGGATGGAACCTTAGGGCATTATGCTAAGTGAAAAAAATCAGAGAGAGAAAGACAAATACTGTGTGGTCTCACTTATGTGTGGAATCTGAACAAATGAAAAAGTGCACAAAACCTTAGAGAAAGAGATCAGATTTGTGGTTACCAGAAGTGGAGGGGGTGGGTTGAGGGGAGATTTGGATGAAGATAATCAAAAGGTACAAACTTACAGGTATAAGATGATAAAGTGCTAGGGATGTCATATACAACCTGATGTCTCTCTGGTTAACAGCGTTGTGTGTTGTATGTGAAAGTTGTTAAGAGGATCTGTATGAGATGCTGAATGCTAACTAAACTGGTTTGGTAGTCATTTCTGGGTGTACATAAGTCAGATCATTGTGCTGTACACCTTAAACATATACAATGCTGCCTGTCAGCTATAGCTGATAAGACTGGGAATTAATGGGTGAATGGATAAACAATATGTGGTATATTCATACAATAGAATATCATTCAACCTTAAAAAGGAAGAAAATCCTGTCACATGCTACAACATGGATGAATCTTGAGGATATTATGCTAAGTAAAATAAGCCAGTCACAAAAGGACAAGTACTGTATGATTCTACTTGTATGAGGTATCGTAGATGGTCAAATCAATAGAAACAGAAAGATAATAGTGGTTACTAGGGCCTGGGGGGAGTGGGAAAAGTGGAGTTGTGTAATGGGTACTAAGTTTCAGATTTGCAAGCTAAAAATGTTCTGGGGGTCTTCTTCACAACGATATGCATGTAGTCAACACTTCTGAGCTGTATACTTAAGAATGGTTATGATGGTAAATTTTATGTTTTATGTTTTGTACCACAACAAAAGCAAGTGGGGGGCAGTGCTAGGGTTGGAAAATTATCATTTTGTACCCATTATAAAAGACTGAATCAGGCAGAAAGCGACAATGGATGTTAAACAAGGTGAAAATTTTGATGAAGAGCAGGATGTATGTGTGGTTGCAGGGTAGGGATAGGGATCCAATGCCTAAATGGAGGGCGCGTGGCTCCTGTGTTACCTACCACCCTAGGAAGAGGTCAGATGTGCAGAGGTGGAGGATTGGTCTGTTATGCATCAAGGATGCAAGAGAATTCCAACTGATGGATTTATTTTGTCTGTGAAGTGCAGGTTGGTCCACTGCTGGGAGTGAGGGGAAGATATGGATATGTTACAGGCTTAGGAGAATAGGCAAGATTTGAAACAACTTTTGGGAGGACCAGGAAAGTAAGTGAATCTCCCAAATCTACTAGACCCATTGAATGCCAGGATTAGGTACCGTTGTGAATGGTAGAAAAACTGAAACACTGATGGCTTTTAAGAGCTGTAAGGTTATTTGTTTCCCATATAAAGGTCTGAGATAGACAGCCCGGGACTAGAATTTGGCGCTGCTCCAAGAAGTTTTCTAAGAAACATAGTTGACATAAAATATTACAGGTTTGGGAGAGGAACACCCCAGAAGTGAAGTTCCCTTCTTGTCACATGATGTCAGGAGGCACATGACATCCACATGACATTACTGATAATGGTTAAGGTGGTATTTACTAGAGGTGTTTTCTCTACTACAAATTTATTGTGTTTCCCTTTTC